CAGCTGTTTACGTGGATCGTTACCATGGCAACGGGGACGCTACCTGGCCTAGCTACACGCGTGTTACTTCGACGAGGTGACTTTGCACTGTGACGCAACTTACCATTTCGAATCAAAGTGATAAAGAACAGATCTCGAAGTGCACGAAATGGATAAAAGATAATCTAAATCAAGTATGACCCTCGAGAAAATAAGAAATGGATATCAAACGTGAGCGGGACTGCAATTTCATCACGGACTTAACCCTTGGACTCGTCGAGACGCTGAGTGAGTTCATCTCGAGACTTTGTTTCTTTGACGACTTAACAGCTGATTTCGCGAGTGTTTGTATATTTCAAAGAGAATATCTACATAAGTGGTATGTTCATGCTGAAATATATCTGCGCTGGGTATTTACATTTTGTTTTATGATATTTTAAAAAATAAATTTGAAAGATATGATAACGTATGTGTTTATATAAGATATCATTGTTGTAACTAATAATTTTGAAAGATATGATAAAATATCACGTGTCTTTATATAAGATATCATTGTTATAACTATTTTTTCTTTAAATAAGATAAACATATAAATGCTACACCCAATCATAGTTATAACTATTTTTCTTCAGGTACGATCAACATAAATTCTATATCAAATCTCTTATTAATATATTACATTACTAATTAACAGTATTAGGAGTATTACACTTATTATGACTATGTATATATTAGATACCAATATTCTACTCATTTTCAAACATTTAAACTTGAAATTAGAGATCGCTAATACAATCATATCTCTATCTAGAATTACTTATATCTAAAATTATTGCGTCCCTTCCCTTTCACTTTTCAATCCAATAGATTATAAAAAAATGATGATATATAAATCTAAATCAAAAGGTTTTCTCTTGACACTTTCACTTATAGAAAACATCGCATAAGAAAGCGATAGACAATGAAATTATTTTTTTTTTTTAACGAGTATTTCTAGGTATCACTAAAGGCAACTTAAATTTCTTTTTGTAGTGAAAGTTATCAGAAAGTTTCGTAGATAAAATAAAAGGGAAATAGTGAATGAAGAAAGGGAAGGAGAAGAGTAGGAATAGGAGAAGGAGAAGGAAAAGGAAAAGGAAAGGGAGGAGAAGGAGTAGGAAGAGGGGGAGGAGGAGGAGGAAGAAGAAGAAGAAGACGAAGAAGAAGAAGAGGAGGAGAAGGAGGAGGAGGAGGAGGAGGAGGAGGAGGAGGGGGAGAGGAAGAAGAAGAAGAAAAAGAGGAGAGAGGAGGACGAGGACGAGGAGCAGGAAGAAGAAGAAGAAGAGGTGGAGGAGGAAGAGGAGGAGAATAATAATGATAAGAAAAAAAAGAAGATGAAGACGAGGAGGAGAAGGAAGAGATGGGGTGGAGGAGAAGAAAGAGGAAGATAAAGAGGAGGAAGGGAAAAGACCAAGGAGGGGATAGGGAGATGGAGAGGAAGAGGACTGTCAGAAGGAAAAATAAAGAGGAAGGAAAGAAGAAGAAGAAGACGTAATAAATGAAAAGTAATGAAAGAGAAGAATAAAAAGAGGAGGAAGAGGAAGTAAACCAGGATAACAACAGTTACAAGAAATGAGTGATGAGTATAAACATTAAGACCACAAAGAAAAAAAATCATCATCATCGTCACCAACATCACAAATTGTTCCATCATCACCACTACCAATGACAGCACCGCCAACAGCAAACACATCAACATACACACACACACACACACACATACAAACACACACATGTAGAAACACACATACACAAACACATACATACATACAGACATAAACACACACAGACAGACACAAACACACACATACATACAGACATACACAAACACACACACATATATAGACAGACACAAACACACACATATATACAGACAGACAGACACAAACACACAGATACATACAGACAGATATAAACACACAGATACATACAGACAGATACAAACACACACACATGTAGACATATCAACACACACACACACACACACACAAAACCCCCTCCCTAACCCCCACACACCCCAAAAAATCCCCAACCTCCCCCAAACCAACCCACCCACCCTCCCAGAACACCCAAACCCACCTACCCTCCCCCAAACACCCACTCCACCCACTCTAAAAACACCCACGCCCACCCCCCAGCCTCCCTCTCTTCCCCCCCACCACCCCCTCCCTCTCCCCCCCTACCACCCAACTCACCCCACCCACCCTCTATCTCTCTCTCCCCCTCCCCCTCCAGGAAGCGTAGGCGGCGTGCAAGACGTGTGCGTGGTGGTGCGTGGCGGCGTGGACCGGGCGGCGGTGGTGGCGTGGGAGCAGCGCCACAACGTCGTCCTCGCAGCACGCTACGGGCGCTCTACTCGGCCACCGACGGCTTCAAGCTCACTGGAATTACTGAGGGGGTTGGGGATGGGGGAGGGGGGGGGGGTTGGGGAGGGGATTGGGAAGGGGGGGGGTGGTCTACTCGGCCACCGACGGCTTCAAGCTCACCTGGAATTACGCGACGGCAGGTGGGGGGGTTGGGGGATGGGGGAGGGGGGGGGGTTGGGTTGGGAAGGGGTAGGGTGGTCTACTCGGCCACCGACGGCTTCAAGCTCACCTGGAATTACGCGACGGCAGGTGAGGGGGTTGGGGGGAGGGGAGGTGG